AATTAAATAATGACATTTTAGCGTTTACGAGATATAAACTACAGTGGATAAATTTTTTTTGAGTATAATTTTCTGTAAGACCGACGATTATTCATAATGAAATTATAATTTATGTCACAGATTTTGTTGTTGTTTATTAATTTTTTTTGAGTAAACTAATTTTACGGGTTTTATCGCGTTTAATGTTAGTTATTTTACTTATTTTTAATTCCTGATGTTTCAGGTAATTTACAGCAGTCATGGTCACGGTAAGGGGGGCGAACTACCTTCTAATTTTGAATATTAATTTTTGGCCCATTCTGGGCACAACGAGCTTACAATATTTTGACGTCATGCAGTGCTATGCTTGGGTGTAGATTTGATTTTATTTATTATAGGATCTTAATTTATTTCGTTGTTTAAAAAATGTTCATCCATAGTAGGACTTCAGTGTTGTTTAAGCATTTACAACACATATATTGTGATCGCCTCTCCTATCACCAAGCGTCGCAATTATAGCAAATCCTTTATAAGCTTGCAACTTAAGAACTGATTAAGACGAAGTAGTAACAAGTACCTTATGTGGTCTTCATACGTGGGAGAGCCGCGCTGCAGCTATATTATGGTTGTAGCACTAATGGGTCGGTTTGACTGGGGAAAGAACACTCTCTCACTAAATATCAGAGCAAAATAGCAGCCTTTTTGTATGGTGACTGTAGAAAGTTGGAGACTTATTACTGGAAACTAGGCATTCCATCTTAGTCCCCACGGGTGACAAAGCATTTACATTATGATTCTTAATCGAGAATAGATGTAAATGACAAAAAGCTTTAGTTTTTTTTTTAAAAACCACACAAAACAGTAAAGGTAAGATTTGTCCGGTACGTGCTATAATGATAATGGAATAAAATACAAAAATTAAAGGATATATGTATTTCAAGATTTAAGAAATCATTTTCTAGAAATGAAATTTATTAAATAACTGATCATAATCCTTGAAAATTTCAGAACTGCTGTCTAAAGACATTTGGAAGCGATCAAACTCAGAGAATTCATTTGTGAGTGATTGGCTCCAGTTCAGCTTCCGGTTTAAGAGTTAAATAAACTCTTCAAATGTAGGTCAAAGTAAATGCATGCACTATCTACGAAAACATTTTTAGCACTTAATAATAATAATAATAATAAGCTTTATTGATAATTATACAGTGAATATATGAAGTCTCTGATTGCTGAACTAGGAATTATACCTGTATCTCAGCAATCAGCGCCCTCTCCCAATTTTATGACCTAATAAATTAACAATAAAGGTTCAAAATAACAAGAATGTTTCAAAAGGTATAAAAATTATTTACTACTTAATTTACGTACTATCTGTGTGTTGAGTGTGTTAGGGTTCATGTGTACGTGTGTGTGTGTGTGTATGTGTGTGTGTGTGTGTGTGTGTGTGTGTATGTGTGGGTGTGTACATGTGCGTGTGCGTGTGTGTGTGTCAGCAAGCGTATTTTTGCGTTTGTGTATGCATGTGTTTTATATGTACTTATAAATAAAATGAAAAATAACGGGATTCATCAAGCGGATTACATTATAACATTAAACAAGTCCTCCGTTTCTTCATAATTTAATGATAAAAGCCATTTTTCTACCTTCTTTTTAAATTTGTAAAGTGGAAGTGGATAAAAGTCAAGAATTTTGTTTATTTTGTTATACAAATGTACACTAAGATAACCATGTTGGCGCCTGGCAAAGGACGTGCGGAAAGCGGTTGGAGTCAAGACATTAACTATTGTACGTTTTCCTTCTATTTTGTCTTTGTCGTATGCAGTAGCAAGATGTTGTCTGCTTATAAGTTGTAAAATGTATAACTGCCGAACAGTAAGAACTTGACAATCACTATAGAGTGTTCTAGTTGGGAATCTAAACGTCTTAAAAGTCATCGTTTTAAGCAACGACCTTTGGGCTCTTTCAAGTCGCAAAATGTGGGTTTTGTATGCACCACCCCAAACTCTAATACAATAGTTTATTACTGACTGAGCAAGCGCGTAATATACTACGCGAAGTGTATCAAAATCAGCCACATACCTTAGATGTTTAAACGCCCAAATTAGCTTCCTTACTCTAGAGGTTTGTAGATCTATATGACTAAGCCAGTTTATTTTACAATCTAAAATAACGCCTAGGTATTTGACATTATCAGATTTATGGAGCATATGGCATGAACATTGTCGATCTTTCAGTAATTTACAGCAATGTAGCTTGATTGATATATTTTCAGTGTGGTTTTCCTTGATATTAAACTGGATAAAAGTTGTTTTTGACAGGTTTAGAGTAAGTAAATTCAATCTTAGCCAGCAGTTTACCTTGTGTATTCCAACTTCTGCATTTTTACAAGCCTCATCCCAAGTCTCTCCATAAAATACCAGCGCCGTATCATCAGCGTACGTAAATATTTGTCCATTATATAATGGCTGTTGGCAAAGATCATTAATGTAAACCAAGAAGAGACTTGGGCCAAGTATGCTTCCTTGTGGAACACCATATGTAACTGCGTCATAAGAACTTACTATTCGATCGATCTTAACACACTGCATACGATCACAAAGAAAGTCCTTAAAAATGGAATGCGCTACACCACGAATTCCTACTCTCTCTAGTTTGTCAAGGAGAGAGGGAATCGAAACAGTGTCAAATGCCTTGGCTAGATCTAGAAAAACACCAATACATTTTTGCTTATTATCTAGCTTAGTGGTAACGTAATCAACCAAGTCACTAACAGCATTTTCTGTACTTTTTTCCCGACCTGAAACCATATTGATGACGTGACAGAATATTATTCTTTTCTAAAAAATTCATCAACCGAGTATTTAAAACTTTTTCCAAAATTTTTGAGAGAGCAGGCAATACAGATATAGGCCGGTAATTATTTATATTATCTTTTGAGCCACTCTTGTGTACTGGAGTTATAATGGATTTTTTAAAAACTTTTTGGAAATATACCCTGATCTAGACAGATATTAAATAATTTAGTTAAAGGCGGAACAAGAATATCTCTAGCAAGCTTTAAAAGTTTGCTAGAGATAGAGTCCCAGCCTACAGCGCAGTCATTTTTAAGGTTGATAATAATAGACTCTATTTCCGCTTCGTCGGGTGGAATGAGAACGCAAGAATTGACAACACAAGGTAAATTGAAGTTGTACCGATAGTTTTCGGTTTTGTCTTGACTTATTTTGTTTGCCAAATTTTTACCAACGTTTGAGAAAAAATCATTTATACTCTCAATTGTACAAGACTTATTATCTATATTATTCAGCAACTCTTTTGCTGGTGCATTAATAGTATTTTGATTTGTAATAATTTTAATAGCTTTCCATTTTTGTTTATTATCTTTTGCCTTTTTAAGAAGAGATCTTTCATATTCAAATTTAAGCCTTCTTAGGAGAGAATTACAAAAACTTCTATATCGCTTATACGAAACTACCAAAATGTTATTATCGGGGTCCTTTTTAAGGTTTTTATGCAATTTATCTCTATGGCGAATGCACCGTAGAACTCCGGGTGTAACCCATGGCTTAAGAATTCTTTGCCGCCTAGTAATCACTTTTTCTTGAGTACAAAATTTTACTATCGAAGATATTTTTTCAACTAATTGTGAGGCAGCGTTATCTGCATTGCAGTTGGTGTTTATAAAAGAAAAGTCAATTGTAGACAGATTTTTAATAACTTCATTGTAATCAATTTTTGTATTATAGCATACTTTATGAGTATAGTCGTTATTAAAAGAAAGGTTTAGAAGCACAGAACTATGGTCAGTAACAGTTGAATTCAGAACAACTACTGTGGCAGGCAAATAGGTTTTAATCATGACATGATCCAAACAATTATTGACTCTCGTTGGATAAGTATGTCCTGGTAGAAGACCTAGTTCTGCCATAAGATTTAAATAAGATGAGCTATTTTTATCGGCATTGTTAGGTTTAATGTCAATGTTGACATCACCTAAAAGATATATATTTTTTGCCTTAATGGGTTGAAGAACATGTTCAACTGTGTTTAAAAAGCTGTCAATACTATAAAACGATGGCGATCTGTATGTGGCTAATATTGCAATATTTGGTTCCGTCTTTAGCAAAAGGAAGTTACCACCAATCGAATCTGGCTCCTCCACAATACAATCTATTCCAGATTTTACATAAATAATTATACCGTCATTTTGGTTTAAGGTTTTTTTAGAAAAATAACACGTGTAATTATCAATAAGTGGAGGAGGTTTGTGACTACTTAACCAGCATTCCGTTAGAATTAGAATATCACATTCAAAAGTAAATCTTTCCAATTGTGCTATTAACCCATCTATGTTTTTATAAACGCTTCGTATATTCTGAGTTAAAACATTTATAGATTTAGAAAAACTGACATTCTGAATAATATTATTACAGTGTTCTGTGCTACAGTTGTATGATTTTGCCACAGAGATGTTATCAATATCGATTGTTAAATTTTCTACGTTGATAGCCATCTTTTTATATAAGTTATTTGGTTTTGCTTAATAAAAAAAATATTTCTGCAACAGTTGTTGCATCCTAATCTGGCTCTGAACATAGAGAATAATGTGATTAATATGGACTCCGATAAGTTCTATTACTTTTTTGTAATTTAGAAGGCATAGAAGGCATGATAAATTGTACCTATTAAATAAATTAAAACTATTAACAAAATATATGTTTAAAATTAAATTAATGAATTTATTCTTAATTATTTCCGTATACGGCACGAAATAGAAGAAAAAAGAAAGTAATAATGTTAACAAAATATCAAATTTTGTTTTATACAACATAGCATTCTTACGGTAATTCCGTGAGGATTTTTTTGTTAAAAAAATAATTTTTGTAGTGTAAAAATATGTATGAAGTGTTATAGTGTATTTGTGTAATGTAAACCGCTAGTACTATGATAAAGTAACATAAAGGAAATATTAAATAACAGTAAAATTTTAAATAAATAATAAAAATAAATGATAATTCTAGTCATTGAGTCTTCCTTAAATTTTCGAGATCGGCTTCACTGTTAATTCGTATCTGGCTGGATTTTTCATCTTTGCGTAGGTAAACAGTTCCGTTCAGAGTCCAGCAGTACATAAAACTGTGTGCCTTTTTGAATGCTCTTGCGAGTTGAAATATTTTTTGAGTCTTTTGAGTTAAAGTTTCTGATATAAACACTGGTTTCTTTGGTTGTTGCAGTTGTAGGTGAGAAGTATTTAATTTCTCGTCTCTCGGTTTGTTTTTATTAAAACTTTTTACCGCTCTAAGTATTTTTTCCTTGCTGATAACGGAGCTTAGTTCCACTATAATCGGACCAGAACTGTCCTTGGAGTTCAATCTATATATATCTTTCAATTCGGAGTCTTCTATACTAATATTAACGGCCTTTCCGGTCTTTTTAATAATGTTAAACAAAAAAATCTTTTGTTTCACCCGTTGATTTAGGAATATTTCGTACTTCAATCCCCGATGCACGCATTTTACGCTCCATAGTTTCCAATCTATCCTCCATTAAAGCCATGCGCCGTTTGTCCTCTTTCCTTTCTTTTTCCAAATTAGCAATTATTGTAAGTAAATCGTCATATTTGTTAGACATATGCTCCACACATCGTTTTAACTCATAATTTTGCTCTTTTAGGTTACTGTTAACTGTTCTTATATCTTTTACCGATTTCCTTGAACCACACCTGGTTACTGCAGCTCGTGGACACCTGCAACCACTTAAAACCAAGGAAGCTACAGATGCGTTGTCATCTCCGCGGACTAAGATGTGATGCTCACAAACGTATACTGGCTCTCTTTCCTCTTCGTGCTGGTGCACAGCAGTGTGTGCACAGCGGTGTGTGCACAGCGGTGTGTGCACAGCGGTGTGTGCACAGCGGTGTGTGTGCAGCGGTGTGTGCACAGCGGTGTGTGCACAGCGGTGTGTGCACAGCGGTGTGTGCATAGCGGTGTGTGCACAGCGGTGTGTGCACAGCGGTGTATGCACAGCGGTGTGTGCACAGCGGTGTGTGCACACCGGTGTGTGCACAGCGGTGTGTGCACAGCGGTGTGTGCACAGCAGTGTGTGCACAGCGGTCCGGTTGAAATCGGAAAAAGGGTGGGATCAAATCAGACGGACTCCTAGGAACCGGAAATGAGACATTCCATTAGTCCATAGTTGTTATGGTCATTAGACAAAGCTCCTACATTTTGTCCTTAATTCAGGATAGATGAAGATGCCTATGGGTTACATACAGCATCCACTTACCAGCTCATTTGTCACCCACATTCTATATAAAAACACCACAACCACAATGACTATTATATTAGTATGTATTCTAAGAGTATTATAAAGTACATTGTAAAAATTGTATTATATCAAGATATTTTAAACGCATACTGCTAGCGGTTCCTAATGTATTACATTTTATTCTCAAGGCTAACGACGGTTAATAGCTTCTATTATAATATATCTTAATTGTACAACGAGAACGTGAATTAGTAACTGCTATCCTATTCCATTTTCCTTTTCTCTAGCTAGTTCACACGTGCCCCGCAACAAAGTAAAAAAAAACTTTCCCATCACGAGACAAAGTGTAAGAGTGAAAGTCTTTACGTCGGCAGTTAGTTTTTATCGCTGATCCTGTCTCTTACAAATGAGCAATGACGCAACTTCTTACAATACCCAGCCCCGTCCAAATTTTCATACAAAAGACCTTTTACAATGAACAAAATGAAGTCGTTTTTGTGTCCTTGGCAGTGAAATTTTAGTACACAAATAACATTCAATGTGGCAGCGTTTCGCATGACATTGAATGTTGTTTAAAACATTACAACTAAAACAATTTCATATTTTATTTTAATTTTAGGTCAATTGACGATACACGAGCAATCAACGAACACAAAAATAATAACGCGGACGGCGACACTGGGTCATCGTGACCCCGGATTTTTCCAACAATATTTTCATAAAATTGAAGGAGTTGTCTAACATGATTTATTAAGTGTTCATAAAATAAGGTATGCTTTGCGTGCTCGAATAGTTTTCTCATTAAATGTGGATAATTAACTTTGAATTAATATCATCATCATCATCATCATCACACACACATTACAGCCTTTCACAAGTACACTGCTGAACATAGGCCTCCCCCAAGTATTGCCACAAAGCACGGTCCTGAGCCACCTGCATCTATCGACTTCCTGCATGTCTTACCAGGTCGTCACTCCATCTAGTGGGGGGTCGCCTTACAGTACGCCGACCGGTACGAGGCTGCCACTCGAGAACCTATCTTCCCCATCGGTTAACGGTTCTTCGAGCTATATGGCCAGCCCATTGCCACTTCAGCTTACTAATCTGTTGGACTATGTCGGTCACTGTGGTTTTACTGCGGATATCCTCATTTCTGAGTCTATCACGAAGAGAAACTCCGAGCATAGCCCTCTCCATAGCTCGCTGAGCAACCTTGAGCGTCCTCATACGGCCAGCAGTGAAGGACCATGTCTCAGATCCGTAAGTCATCACTGGCAACACGCACTGGTTGTACAATCTAGTTTTTAGAGATTGAGGTATACCTGACGAGAAGATGTGTCGTAATTTCCCGAAATCTGCCCAGCCGAGTTGAATCCGTCGATTGACATTTTGGTCGAAGTTGGACTTACCTAGTCGGACTATTTGTCCCAGGTAAACGTACTCGTCAACAACTTCGAGCATAGTGCTCCCAACAACTACTGGCATAGGTGTGACATGGATATTAAGCATGATCTTGTTTTGTCCATGTTCATCTTAAGACCTATCCCTTGGGATGCACCATTGAGGTCATTCAGCATAGTGCTAAGGTCCTCCAGCGATTCTGCCATAAGGACTATATCGTCGGAAAATCGAAGGTGAATGATGTACTCGCCATTGATGTTAATACCGTATCCTTTCCAGTACAGTAGCTTGAAAACGTCTTCGTACGCAGAGGTGAAGAGTTTCGGGGATATAACGTCACCCTGTCTTACACCTCTCTGCAGTTGGGTAGGTTTCGAACTCTGGTTCTGTACTCGGATAGCCATCGTAGCCCTACTGTACAAACACTTCAGCACTTCGATATACCGACAGTCAACTAGGCACTGCTGAATGAACTGTAGCACCGCCCAAATTTCGACGGAATCAAAGGCTTTCTCATAGTCCACATAACACCAGGCAAAATGGCAGATTGAACTCTTCGGTCTTTTGTACAATTGCCGCAGGGTATGTATGTGGTCTATGGTACTGAAGCCTTTTCGGAAACCGGCTTGTTCGGGAGGCTGGAAGTCGTGCGTGCGAGACGATTCGTAATGACTCTCGAAAACAGCACGTAGACGCGACTCAGAAGGGAAATCGGTCTGTAGTTCTTCAAGAGAGCGTTGTAGCCTTTCTTAAAGAACAAGACCACCGCAATTCTGCTCCACGCCTCCGGAGTAGTGCCACCATGGAGGACGGAATTGAAGAGCTTCTGAAGGACTTCAAGTACCGGTGTTCCATCCGCTTTCAGAATCTCCGCTGTCATTCCATCCTCGCCTGGGGCCCTGCCGTTTTTAAGGTGCTGGAGAGCCATTCTAATCTCGCTCAAACTGACGTCCGGGATATCATCGGAATAGTGTCGGGTAAGACTTGCTCTTGGATCGTTACTCACACTTGCGTGTGGAAGTTGAATTAATAACTTGGATATTTTTGTTAAAGTACCTATTCTAAATAATAATAGGAATAAATAATCCAATATCATTAAACAGATTAGACAAATTTGCTATTGTAACAATAATAGAAAATTAGTCTTCTACCTCCGTATTCAAAGACATGAAACAACTGCAATTATTAGACGGCTCCATGGCGCAGTGGCTTGGCAACGGAAACTTGAGATACGGCGCTAAGGGCCGCTGGTTTGAATCCCACACGAAAAAATTATTTGCATGGCCTACAAGTAACTGTTCCAGGTTCTGTTAATGATGCTGGAGAAAATCCTAGTGTGGAGATAATATTTTTAAGGATAGACTTTTTGATGGCGTCTTAATTATTGTGTTATCTGTATTTGGGTTCCTATACGAGAGCATTGTCATTTAATCGAAATGAGCCGTCAACTACTATTACAGTTATACAAGTCTATTACAGAGTTTGTTAATTTGTTTGTTTGTCCTCAATTAATAAATTACTAAGATAAGAATTGCACTTAGTGGGAATTTTGTTGACATCACGTTACACTACTTTGTTATATCTGCTTTTAATTGTATTTATGGTTGACACGAGTTTTCAAAAGTTTTGTGTGTAACGCTATTTTCGTCGGTGTATAAATTGGTTGTTTCGTGGTAATGTTTATATATGGTACATTTATAAAGTTACCGTGTAGTGGCGGTGTAAGAAAATCCACTTCCCCATATATAGTCCCGTTGGTGTTGCAGGAGTCAGAGGGAACCGAAACAGAATGGGCAGCACCATCGCCCTGATAACGACTCAAAATTATTATAATATCCGGTTGCCAACCCGCCTACCAAGCATGGCAACTGCCCATAAAGCAATTTAAATTGAACCTAATGAAGTGGCCTTCGTTCAGCAATGCACTTTTATTGACTGTTATGGTCATGGAATGTTTATACATGGTAGAGCCGCGCTGCAACTATAAGTCATGAGGGGTAATGACGCAACTGCATTTTGTTTCTTAATTAAGGACAGATGTAGATATGTATGGGCTCAGTATTTGCTTGCCATGGACTACCGCTACCATGGACATATACTGTGTGCTAGTCTGTCACCGTTATTCTATAAAAATGAAATTCTGAAAAACAAGAACAGTTATATCAACTTGAGTTTTCTTTTTTATAATCTTCTTTTTTAACCCGTTAAAGTCCACTGCTGGACATAGGATTCTTCAATTGTAGGAAGGATGTGACTTAATGAGGGTAATTTTTCTGTCAGCAATGCGGCGCCACATAGGAATGAGGTTAAATATTTGATAGATTTCATGGCGGCTAAAGGTAATCTGTTAAAAAAGTAGAGATTAACCTTTCTTTCGAAAATATTATTTGATGATATTGATTAGAAACTAATAAACCATACTACGAAACGAAGAAGAATATTAAGAAAAAAGAAAAATATTTAAAAAAAGTATGTGTTACAAATTAAAGAACACAACACTGACACATTTTGTGTATATTCATAAACTGGAAACCGCAAAACTTTTGTTTTAAACGCAATTTTTCTACGATGATGACGCTGTGCGACCATTTTGTGATAAATAAAATCACCTCAGTCCCAACTAGCGGCATCTAGTGAGGGTAAGATCCCTCATTGTCTATGTTCAGCTGTGGACTTGTGAAGGGCTGTAATGATGATGAACTCTTATATTAATTAACCTAACCATATCAGATTTCATTCTCAATTGGCGAATTTTACCACAAATATTAAAAAAAGAGAGAAGAATATTTGGCCAACTTGCAGGATAATATTCATATTCTCTTAGTCACTTTTGCATCGATGAGACGATATTTATTGTATTGTAAACAAACAAGTATAAAATCATTAATTTTGCAACCATCAAAAATTATATAATAACATACTTTATTCTTATAATAGTGATGTGACTCAAACCTTGTTTT